GAAGTATAAGATTATTTTGCAGGCGGACATACCGCAAGTCCCAACCTTATTCTCTACAAGATATCAGGCCTTAAACACATGTAAATTTTGGGAGAACCTTTCAATACCACATATGTATATTTCAGGCCAAAGCTGATATAACACATGACTCGCAATCCATTCATTGATAGTGGACTCCCCCACTCGGCGCGAAGTCATAGTTCACCTCGTTCGATGGTCCACAATATTAACCTTCACAACTCGCATAAATCAAACTGATGCCAAGGTACGTTACACCCCCTACATTATTCACTGGGTGATCTCCTTATACGTCCGCATCTTCAGTCGGAATCACACGTTGAGGAAATATTTGAGCATCTCTGGCTCCCTCGTAGTTCATCTGCGGCATCACGAACCGTTGACGCACAACTGATACCGAGACCGCAATGTCATACACGAGTGGATACAAAGGAATGTGAGATATAGGTTTCAAGCAAGATCAATGTCGCACGATAAGGAATGAAAGAGGTGATATTGTTCCTAAACTTCATAGCCTCTAAGAGATAAGTACAGACGTCTCCGTACCGATCCTTCAGACTCTACTAAGCTTGATCGTGACTCGTGAGATCTATGTAACCTAGTGCTCTGATACCAATTGTCACGACCCGAAATTCCCTCCTTCGGACCGTGATGGCGTCTAACATTTCACTTGCTAGGCAAGCCAACGTTAGAATAATATTAACCAATTTTTAAACAATTTTTAAATTATTAATAATCAAAGAAACAAAAACGGAAGCAAAGTTTGAAATATAGTGAATAATCCATAATAACAACGGTGTCTAAATACCATCCCAAAATTGGTGTCACAAGTGTACGAGCTTCTAGAATAAATTCAAATAAGGTCGGAATAAAATAAAGCTATCTGGGAATAAACACACAGCTAAAGTAAAATAGACGGGGACTTCAGAACTGCGGACGCCATGCAGTTATACCTCAAGTCTCCTCTGGTAGCTGAAATTCGAGCAAGTTTATGGTACGCCGCTGGGACCAACTCCAAAAGCTGCACCAGAAGTGCAGAGTGTAGTATCAGTACAACCGACCCCATGTACTGGTAAGTGCTGAGCCTAACCTCGACGAAGTAGTGATGAGGCTATGGCAGTTCACTTACATTAACATGTATGCAATATTAGTAACAACAACAATAAAAGAAATAAATCAGGTAATTCATTTATAATAATTGAAGGCAACTTAGCAGTCATAACCAATTATCAATTCCATTAATTCTGTTGCAGCGTGAAACTCGCTCTCACAATATATTCACATTCAATTCTGTTGCAGCGTGCAACCCGCTCTCACAATATATTCACATTCAGTTCTGTTGCAGCGTGCAACCCGCTCTCACAATATATTCACATTCAGTTTTGTTATATATTTATTTCAATCAAGTATATATATAGACTTTGAAATAAGTCTGTTGCGGCGTGCAATCCGATCCCCCAATATTGACTTTTAATAAGTTTGTTGCGGCGTGCAACCCGATCCTCCAATATTAACTTTTTAACAAGTCTGTTGCGGCGTGAAACTCGATCCTCTAATATTAACTTTTTAACAAGTCTGTTGCAGCGTGCAACCCGATCCTCCAATGTTAACTTTTAATAAGTCTGTTGCGGCGTGCAACCCGATCCTCCAATATTTCTATTTCAATCAATTCTTATTGAAGAAATTCCCCAATAAATGCAACAATTAATATAAAATCATAAGACAACACGCATACAACAATTATAATTTAATTATGAAACAAACAATGACAATTAGCAATTTATTAAAGAAATCAGGGAGGAAATAGATAGTTTAATATTTAATATACTAAATGTCAAATAACAATTAAAACATATAATTCAAATAGCATGTAACAATTAATGAAGGAATTCAAGAATTAATATTTTTACAAAGAATAAGAGAGAAACAATTATTAGAATAATTAATTTATGATTAAAATAATTTATGATTTTTCAAGTAAGCACGCAAAAAATTAATTTGACGACGTATAGACACTCGTCACCTCGCCTATACGTCGTTCACATGCAATTCACATAACAAATAATTTAAGGATTCTATTCCCTCAAGTCAAAGTTAACCCCGACACTTACCTCGTTTTGCGAATTCCAATCAATTATTCAACCACAACTTTTCCTTTTAAATTTGCCTCCGAAAGCTTCAAAACTATTCACAAACAATTCGATATATTCAATACGAATCATAGGAATTAATTCCATATGAATTTATAAATTTTTCGGATAAAAATCCGAAATTCATTAAAATATTCGGCAGTGGGACCCACGTCTCAAATCCCGAAAAAACTCGTGAAATCCGAATACTCGTTCCGATACGAGTTCAACCATACCAAATTTATCCAATTTCGATATCAAATGGACCTTCAAATCTTAAATCTTCGTTTTTGGAAGATTTTATAAAAATCTGATTTTTCTTCCATAAATTCACGGATTCATGATATAAATGAGTATGAAATCTTGAAATATAATCAATATAGGATAAGGAACACTTACCCCAATATTTTTCCGTAAAAATCGCCCAAAATTCGCCTTACCCGAGCTCAAAAATAGGAAAGAATTGAAAATGGGTCAAAACCCCATTTTCAGAACTTAAGTTCTGTTTTTGGGATTTTTACCCTTCGCGAACGCAGTCAGTGCCTCGCGTTCGCGAAGCACATTTTTGTGCTGCCAAAACTTTGCTCTTCGCGAACGCGAAGCCGATACACCCTACACGAACGCGAAGCTTTAACGCTAGGTGCCCGGCCAGGCCTCGTCTTCTACGCGAACGCTTCCACGCGTTCGCGATGAACACTGCCCTCTTCCCTTCGCGAACGCGTCCCCCTCTTCGCGAACGCGAAGAGTAAATTTCACTTGCCCCCAATTTCTTCTTCGCGAACGCGAGCCACCTCCCGCGAACGCGAAGAAGGATACCAGAAGCAGATTTTTGCAGTTTTTCCCAAGTTCAAAAATGGTCCGTTAACCACCCGAAATCAACCCGAGCCCTCGGGGCTCCAAACCAAACATACACCCAAGTCCTAAAACATCATACGAACTTGCTCGCGCGATCGAATCGCCAAAATAACACCTAGAACTACGAATCGGACACCAAATCAAAGGAAGTTTTCAACAAAACTTTAAAACTTATATTTTTACAACCGGATGTCCGAATCACGTCAAATCAACTCCGATTCTCACCAAATTTGGGAGACACGTCATAAATATTATAGTGGACCTATGCCGGGCTCCGAAATCAAAATATGAACCCGAGGTCAATAAATCCAACAACAGTAATTTCTTAGAAATCATTAAGATTTCAAGCTTTTAATTTTTCATCAAAATTCCATAACTCGAGCTAGGGACCTCGGAATTCGATTACGGGCGTACGCCCAAGTCCCAAATCACGATACGGACCTATCAAAATTTTCAAAATACTGATCCGTGTCCGTTTGTTCAAAATATTGACCAAAGTCAACTTAGTTGAGTTTTAAAGCTCTATTTCCCATTTTAATCCATTTTTCACATAAAAACTTTTCTGAAAAATTATACGGATTGCGCACGCAAGTCGAGGAATGATAAATGGTACTTTTCGAGGTCTTAGAACACAGAATTACTTATTAAATTTAAAGATGACATTTTGGGTCATCACATCTGGGTGGTAGTAATTAATACAGTTTTATGATATTACACACTTGTTATATTTCATTATAGTTAACTAATGTTAATTACTGAATGGAAATAAGGAATTGGTAAATGATTCTTTAATGTTAGCTTGCCTAGCAAGTGAAATATTATGCGCCATCACGATCCCGTCGGTGGAAAATTTTCGGATCGTGACGGTAAAACCTAGCTCTGTAGCAAGAGGAAACACAGGTTGCTCTCCGTCAACGTGCGTGCTAACATGTAATAGGTGACATTGAAATGATGTCCTGTTTTGACCAACTAAAATGAATTTGACTCTGAAAGAAAATATAATAAACACATTGGAACTAACATAGTGCAATCGACTTAGGATTTGTGGGACGAAAGAATATGAATAATTCTGGAAGTTATCTGTTAAACTCTACTAAAATCTGTAGAGGTTTTAAGCCAAGCTTTAAGTTAAAGTGAATATACTTAAGAGTGTGGAATGAAAATCATAAGAAATTTGAAATTAGATATAAATATTATGTGATTTTTTTATATTATCAATAAAACACTACATAACTTTCTAGAAATGCTTTTTACTTATTCAGACGTTACTTTTAAAATTGTTGTTATAAATTTAGAATCAAGATAACATAGTGAAAGAGTTTCATGTAAAAACTTGATTATCTTGTATTGTACTTTATGGGATTTTTTTTTTCATGTCTCTCTTTGTTGCACAATTTTTTTCTATATATGACAATTCTATTATCTCTTTAAGAAACATTATTTCATTTATTTTATTTATTAACTATTTCAGGTAAAGAAGATTTTATTAAAACAATTTAGTGATAATTTGATTAGTATTTAGAGTGATCGAGAGATTAATTTATTTTTAATATTATGTCATTAAACTAGAACAAAATACAAATTTTCTTGTTAAAAATTCTTAATAATTAAAAATCACAATTATTATTTCAAAGAACCAAAAAATACCTTTTCATCAACTATTTGGGAATAAAATTAATATGTTTTATTATTCAAATTTTGATTGGTATAAAAAAAAGTAATACATTAACACAACTGAAAATACTAAAAGAATAAAACTATATATCATTCAATTTAAACAATGAGAAAAATACATCACGGCTTATTTTTCAACTGACTTTTTATTCATTATTTTATAGTAATTAATTTAAGTTTGGTGGTGCAAAAACTTTTTAAAATAAAAAAGTGCAGACCCTATGTAGAAATAATTTAAATTGTACTTGAATTATTATCTAATCATTGTATAATAAAGTATCAAACTTCGACAAGTATTACAAAGTGATTGGTATCGTAATACGATTTCAGAAAAATTAAAATGCACATAATGCAAAAGATAAATAACAATAAATATAATTATGGTTTTATACGTTATTACATAAAAGCCTATTCTCTTTCTTCTTTCCCTAAAGAAAGTAGAAAGTGTGTAATTAGCAATAGACCAAGAAATATTAAAAGGAAGAAAACAAGAAGAAGAAAAAAAAAGTCATCTAGTTAGTTTATAGAGTCGGAAATGTTAACTTTTGGAGTGTGAAGTATAAATCGCAATTGATAAATGCGACTTCTAATTTGAGTAAATACGTTTTATACGCCTTAAGGCGTATCTTTTACCTGTCGCTACTCGCTACTACAGAGAGTTTTTGTAAAATAAATTCTGAGCATTTGAAATCTTCTAACTTTTTTGGAATAATAAATAAGAAACTACTTTTAGGATAATGTAAGACATGTAGAATTTCACACTATTACATAATTTAAAATCTAATTGCAAGTAATTTTGTATAATAAATATTAGTAATGGTTAACCTGCAAAAAATGGTAAAAATGATATGTTAGAGACAGTAAATTGCAATAATACTAATACAAAAATATTTTACACTGTGAGAGATCATTTATCATTTGTTTGATTGTCATTATTTTCTCGCTATAGCTAATACCGGTATGATTTATAATTCAATTTAAATATTATCTTACACTTCATACAATATCGGATATCTAATATTAATGTTAGCCATACTGAGTATTATTAATCTTGCATATATAATTATGCACTATAATCCCAGTGTAACTGATTTATGAACTAATCAGCTTACAGTTTTTATTAATTTTCTAATTTTTATTTAAAAAGTTGAAAGGGAAAATGAAGAAAGCAATAAGTCTGTAATTTTTTATCATGCCTCTGGTAATAATTGGGCTTAAACCCAAATATAAGCCTAAATTGGGCCATAAACTTGCTTTCACCCATTACAAAAGGGAACTAGCCCAATATTGGGAGGAAAAATTACCAAGGGAAACAAGAAGATACAAAAGAAAAAGGGGTAAATTATACATTTGACAAGTCGGCTAAATATAATTACTTCGCTAGCCAAATATATATTTAAAATATATATATATATATATATATATATATATAAAGTATACTTTTACCGATTATTATTTTTAGAGCGATCATACTATGTAGTTTTCCCAAAGAATAATCTGGGATACGAATCTCGTCAAATTGTTGATAAGGAAACAATTTTTTCTAACATGCAATTTGGGGTTAATAGAGAGAAATCATTCATCCTTAAGCTCACCTTGATCAATCCTTTAAATCCAGCATTGCCGACACCAACAATCTTGATCAAGAATCTTATCCAATCGTACGATGGAAAATAGTTCTACAGGGGCGACCTGAGAACATATGTATTACTAAAATTATCAAAAACAAAAAATGTCGTACACATGATCTCAGGTTGCCCCCGTTGAACATTTCCACCTATTTATATAAAACACTTGAACTTTTGTGGCAAATTATGTTGATCTTGAAGACATATAAAGGGGGAGATTTTAAAGGTGTGGAATTGTATAACACAGTACTACAAATTGTACTGGTACTTCTAGGACAATAACTTTGTATAATATGTGATGTCTTTGTCAATAATAAAGTACAAATTATATAGTGTACTACACACATTTTACTTCACTCATTGGTACTACAAATTTGATTAGTTGAACATTTTGTGAGTAAATCAATAGACTTGCTTCAGTTGTAGTGTACCTCTGTAATGTATAGCAAGTACTGCAAATGATAAAATACATATTGTAAGTACAAGATCGTAACTACACTTAAAGTTGTACCATTCATATATCACTTAATCATAATTAACTAATATAAGCTCGTGTACATAGAAAAACTTAGTTAGTGTACATAGAAAAACTTAGTTATATCTAGTATTTGGATCTGTCACGACCCAATTTCGCCTATAGGTCATGATGGCGTCCAACACTACAGCTAGGCAAGCCAACTAATAAGTCAAACATACATTGGTTAAACTTTTATTCCAAGAAGATAATAAAATACCAATTTCTACTAATGTGTGTGCCAAGACCCGATGTCACAAGTGCATGAGCATTTAGTAACTTATACAAAACTCCAAATACTGTCTGAAATAAAATAGACAGAATAGAAATATCAGAAGAGACACGGGCAGCTGCAGAACGGCTCAGAAAGGCAGCTCACCACTATGCCTCGAGATGACGTGGGTATGTGATGATAGGTCCTCTACTAGTACCTGTTTCAGATCCTGCACAAAAAGTGCAGCAAGTGTAATATGAGTACGTAAACAACGTGTACCCAGTAAGTATCAAGCCTAATCTCAAAGTGGTAGAGACGAGATGGTCGACTTTGACACTCACTATAGATCAATAATAATTGAAATAAAACTAAGATATTTAAATCAGCATGATTTACAGAATTTACAAATAATTTATTTACTCAGCGGAAATAATCAAATTCCTACAAATGTAACAATTCTCAATATATTAATTAAGTTCCTTCAACTCAAATAATTTCTAATTTATCAATTAAATCTCATTTACAGGAGTAACAATTAA